CCGCCCCGCCCCGGCCCCGCCCCGGCCAGGCCCCCCCCCAGCGCGCGCGGAGGCCTGAATCCACTAGAGCGGGCGCGCGCTCCTAATCTGGCCTCCGCTCCTGGAGACAGATACCCCTTCTGATTGGCTCAGAGCCCCGCCAAACCTTCGCGAATATGCTTTCCTGATTGGTCAGAGCTTCGTCTTTCCTCCGACCCAGGAGACAAATACCCTTTCTAATTGGCTTAGAGCCTGTATTCTTTCCAGCCCTGGAGACAAATGCCCTTTCTGATTGGCTCAGAACCTTCCCTTCTTTCCGCCCCTGGAGACAAATTTCCTTTCTGATTGGTTCAGAGCCTCTCCGTCTCTCGGACCTTGGAGATAGATACCCCATATTACTGGCTCACAGCTCCGGCTTCCCTCCGCCCTTGGAGACAGATCCTCCTCTTGATTGGCTCAAATGCCAGTCTTCCTTCCGGTCCTGGAGACAGATGCCCCTCCTGATTGGCTCAGCAACCCTTCCCTTGCTGATTTATAGGTCGTGAAACTGCTCAGCTCAGTCCTCTAGGTGGTGGGGGCGCAAGATAGTGCGTGGAGACCCCTGTCACAGACTGGCTCCGGAAAGGGGGGGAGGGAGGAAGAGAAGTGGAAATGCGGTCACTCCATTCGGCAGTTTAAATGTTGGCAGAGGCATAAGGGGGTGAGTCACCTATGCCACAAGGGGTGGTTAAACAGGAGCAACAGCTGCTGTTACCATGGCTGGGACTGTGCTACCTGCTTCCTCAGGCTTTAGCCCTTCCAAATGTAGTGCCAGCTCTAAGGCTTCACAAAATAATGGGATTGACCCTAAAAGTCCTGAGATTGATTTAACGTGTAGTACGACCTTTACAAATGAATAGCTGTGGCTTTCCTCTTATACCGGTCTGACGTGGGTGAGTTCCTGAGTCACATTTCCAAGCTTTTCCCTGCCAGCCCCAGAGGCTAGACACTTTTTAGAGGAGGGTTTAGTTTAATGCAGCCCATCAGCGTTCCTTTGTGCAGCCAATGAGTAGGATGACCATATTTTCTGGACCAAAAATAGGGACACATTAGCCATGCCTCCCACCTCATTAGCCACACACCCCATACCTTAGGCCCCACCCACTTGTCATATAGAGTCCCATACCTGGAGGTAGTACGTCCAGGCTTAAGATGGACACATGACCAGATGTAAAGGGTGTTGTGTGACCCTTCTAAGAATTCCTCCCAATGTCCTCTGCAATTAGGGATGAGTTTGGCCCCCAAAATGACCTTCCCATGCAATTATACTGCAATTGCATTAATCCAATTTGTATTGCATTAACTCAAGAGGGAGAGGCCAGGGATGCCTCTATTTCAGTGGTTCTCAAACTTTTTGGCCTGTGAACCACCTGGCTCAAAGTAAACCTTTGCATGGATGACAAGTTGCTAATGGAAACTCACTGTTAATTACATAATTACGCTTGAACCATTTTGCTAGTGCTGCAGCTAGGGAGAATGGTTTAAATCATTAAATAGATTGGCTACGTCTACACTGTGCATTGTTGTGCAATAAAATATGCAAATGAGGCATGGGGATGAATAGCACCGTGCCTCATTTGCATACCTAATAAGCAACCATTTTTGCAGCAGTGCCTCCCCGCAAGCAGAGCCACGTCTGCGCGTGTGTGGGAGCTGTCAGCTGGCCGGGGGGGGGGGAAAGGGGAAGGAAGGCAAAAGGTGGCAGCAAAGCACACCTGCCATGTCTGTCACAGTGGCAGTGCCTCCCCAAGCCAGGTCACATCAGTGTGTACGCAGGAGCTGCTGGGGGTGGCAAGAGGCACGTGGCAAGGCAGAGGCAGAGCTGGGCAGCGAGACAGCGAGGCTGTGGCGGAGCCAGGCAGCAACGCCAGGATGAGAAAGGTCTGGGCTGGGGCTTGGGTAGTAATCAATATAATGGCCTTCTGTTGATATGTGGTTTAGTAGTTAAATTTCTGAACTGTCATTGCTCAGTAAAAGTGCTGTCATATGGGTAGAAATCGGCTAAATATTGCCTTTTATTAATATCAGAAGAACTGACTTAGATTAAGGCAAGACTATACAACATGCAGGCCCCATTTTTGTATTCATGCCCATTGGTGTGAAAGAAGCTATTTGCATATATTTGCAACTGCGCTTAAGTTGTGGCCCTAGGCATGTGCTGTGGGTATCATTGCGGCCCCCGGGGCTTCCAAAGTTGAGTAACCCTGTGCTAAGGTAATATTTTTGGAATGCTATCTTTAGTTTCACAAAATAATTTTTGTCCTGAATAAACAGGTGAAGTGAAGCATTTATACAAATACTTTTAAAATTAATAAAAATAATAATTTGCATTTATATAGTCCACAGCACCTTTCAGTCAAGATTCTAAAGACCCATGCAGATTAATTAATGAGATATTAATTAATCCTCACAATCATACCACTCTGAGGGATAAATGTTCACATTTTATGTATGGATAAACTCAGGTTTATAGAGATTAAGTGACTTGTCCGAGGTCATATAACAATACTGTAGCCAACTGGAAAACCAGATATTCTGATTCCAACCCCGCTCCTCTTACCACCAGAATATATTCCCTTCCTCATTATCAAAACCTCTATTAACATATTTGTAAATGATTAATTTAAATGCTTGGGTATAATGGCAAGTGTTTACATAATAAGGTCAGTAGTATTGTACAGTACCTGGTGACTGGTGGTAGTGATGGTATTGATGGCTTTTCTGTGTCAGTGCTATACAATGACAGTTGCTCACTTCACTCTCTATCCTAGGTATTTAGGTGTCCTCCAATCACCTCACAATCTCTGAGCTAGGGAAGTGCTATTATCCCCATTTTACAAAGGGGACACTGTGGCATAGAGAGAGGGAGTGATTCATCCAAGTTTAAACAAGAAATCTGTGGTAGAGCAGGGAACTGAATGCAGTTCTAGTGGGTTCTAGGTGAGTACCCCTTCTTCCTTTACTATTATTAAAGAGGTAAATTTTTACTGGACTCATGAATTATTTCATGGGCCCCAGCTAAACATCAGGCAGATTATCCAAACAGCCTGAGGTTTCTTTAAATATGATACAGGCAGTCCCCGACTTACGCGGATCCGCACTTACGAACGGGGCTTTCTCGCCCCGGAAGTCGGGGCGAGAAAGCCCCGTTCGTAAGCTGCTCTGGTGCCCCTGGTCTGCTGGAGACCGTCTCCAGCAGACCAGGGGCACCGGGCGGGTTCCCGCGCTTCTGAGGCTTTGCCA